AGGTCACCATCACCTTGGTCCCCCCACAAAATCCTTTTGCAAAACCTCCTAACGGAATTGCAGGTCCGTAGCTCACAACCTCACACACTTGAGAGCATATTCCTCTAAAAATTCCTAAGTTCACACGCACCAAAAACCCTAAAAATCTCCTATAAATACACTCCCAACCATTGGCAAAAAAGGGAAGAAAAACCCTAAGGAAACTCTGTCAAAATCAATTCCCACCCATTATTCAAAAAGCTCAAGAAAATCTCAAGGGTTACTCAGGTTCAACATCAGAACCTGAGCTTACTCTGAGCTAAACCTAATTTCGCGAATTTCACAACTAGAAAAAAGAGAAGGAGCAAGTGAAGCCGAAGCAGAAGTGAGAAGAAGAAACTATTACCTTTTAGCAGCTCAGACTCGACGTTCTTGTTTCCAGGTATCCCTTCCATTAACGTCTAAGATTAGTGAAAGTATGATGAATTTGGGGGTATGGGATTCAGATTGGGAGTAAGGTTTTATTTTGAACCTTCATGCTTTGATATTTGTCTTGAATAATGGTAGCTGACCTTAATATGAAAGCACGTTAACCTGGTGTATTTGTTTAAAAACTTTGATTCGCTTCTAGTTTGTGCTTCTCGGTTCTGGGGTTTAGAAATTAGGGTTAGGAATCTTTGATTTGGATAGAGTTTGGGTTTGCAGAAGCGAGAGGGCTCGGTTTATGGTAGAAGAAGAAGGACGGAAACAGAGAGATTTTAGGGGAGATTCATTTTTACGTTTGAAGATGAAAAGGAAAATTTATTTTGTGAGGTAAGTGAGATAAGGGAGGGATATAGTTTAACCTTTTGATTTCAGTTTGAGTTTCCAATGAATCTCGGGAATCCCCAACAGACAACATTCATTATTGCTGTTTCTTCTTCCCCATGTGTATAGCATTTTTCCCAATAAAGCATGCGAATGGTGAGGTTGTTTTCGGTTGGTTTCTTAGGACGGCCACGTGTCAGTTCCTTATTAAAGCCATTAGGTCTGTTTTGATTAAATATTATTAGTTTAATTAAAACTTAATAAGGCCCTATCTTAGAAACTAATTAAATATAGTTTAAAACATTATTAATATTTAGATTTTTACTTACAAATTATGACAATTAATTTACAATTTGATTTAGATTCTATTTTAGAATTTTATTAAATTTATTTATTTTTCTATTAAATTCAAAACACTTTACTTAATCTAATTTAAATTCTTTTTTTTTTTAAAAAGGGGGAACTTTTAAAACATCTTATATATTAATTAAAGATCACAATTATTTTTTTAGGATCTTTCTTATTTGAATAATGAAAGTGGTGGATCCTTGGAGTCTAGCACTCCTTGGATCCTTAAGTGATCGCTCCCGAGGTGCACACCTTGAGTTGTGGTCACTTCGTCTTTCATCCCTAAAATTACCCAACCTCGCTTAAACCTTCAAAAAGCCGCAAACCCTAATTCGAGCAATACGCTCACCCTAGTTCAATCTACACACTAATATTTTCAAATTATTTTCATAATTAAATTACGAAAGTATCGAGTTCTTGGAGTCGTGCATTCCTTGAATTCGAGAATGGTTACTATCAAGGTGTACACTTTGAATAGTATACCATTCGAACTTTCGTTCCTAAAACACTTCTTAATTACTTGGACAAGTACATTCACTGTCTAACAAACATATTTCATAATTAATGGAATGAAAAAGATGTCGTTGGGATCTAGCATTCCAATAATATCTCGATTAATTGGTTGCGAGGACGACGTCTCGTTTATCGATTAGTCGTCATTCCTCCTAAAGTTTTCAACCCATTTAACCTCGTTCCTCACTCACGTGTAATCAAGTCTAAACACTAGTATGTTTCTAAACCGTACGTCAAATTCAAATCATTTTTCTTAATCAAATTACGAAAGAACTGAGTTCTTGGAGTCTCGCACTCCTTGAATTCTTGAATGACAACTATTGAGGCGTACGCCTTAGGTAGCGTGTCATTCGACCTTTCGTCTAAAACACGCGCCTTAACTATTTGGACAAGTATTCATCGTCCATTCAAATACAATTTCCTAATTAATTGAATGAAAAAGGTGTCGTTGGGATCTAGCATTCCAACGATATCCCGACTAATTGGTTGCGAGACTGACGTCTCGTTTATCGAGTAGTCGTCATTCTCTCTCAAAATATCTAACCGACCTTATCTTCTTCGCCTCCGTGCAATCGAAACCCTAACTACCCATTCAACTTAACTCTCTCTTTCTCGCCCTCGTGCGATTGAAGCTTCCTCAAACATATTTCGTAATTATTCGAATGAAAAAGGTGTCGTTGGGATCTAGCATTCCAATAATGCCCCGATTAATTGATTGCGAGGCCGACGTCTCGTTTATCGAATAGTCGTCATTCTACTTACCTAATCAAACGCCTATTTCTTGCCCCCGCGCAATCGAAACCACAAACCTATTCAAATATATCCTCTAACCAAAACCTCCAATACGATAAACACAAATTCCTCGCCCTCGTGCGATTTCCAACCAAAACACCTTGCCTAGAACATTGTTTAGTCCTTTCTTCCGCGCATATGAACTCGTGCTTCAGCCTCCCCTAGCGAGCAGACAAGCCAATGTTTAGCAGTTAGAATGCGACCTAAACACTCGTTTGTCCCCATACCAAACCTTTTACCGTAGTTAGCCGAACTACGGCTGCTCTGATTCTTCATTCCTTCTCGAATGTAAGATACGTAGGCACAAGATTGCGATGATCTTGGCGAGCACAATCCCCTCTTTTTCCCGTAGTTCCACGAACTACGAATGCTCTGATTTTCCACTTCTTACAAGTGAAGATACGTAGGCACAAGGGCCCCAATCCTTGGCGAGCACCCTATCTTATAACCATCCATTCCCCCTATAGGAGAAACCTTAGAAGAAAACAAACAAGCATAGTTAATTTTACTCTCGAATCGATCAAGAGGTCCCCGTTGAGTACAACGGACGTAGAGGGTGCTAATACCTTCCCTCTGCGTAATCGACTCCCGAACCTAGAATATTGGTTGCGATGACCATGTTCTTATCTCCTTAAAGGTTTTATCGATATTTTCCTATTCCATCCTTGGAATGAATAAAGTTCGGTGGCGACTCTGTTTCGAACAGTATTTTTCCGCGGCCATCGCGAGGATCGTATTTTTCGAGGTACGACACTAACCTCAGACATTGGTCTTCCTTCGTCTTCCTTCTTCTTTTTCATTGGTCTACTTTCGTCTTCCTTCTTCGTCTTCATTCGTCTTCCATCGTATTTCTTGTTCGTATTCATTCATTTGTGTTCCATCTTCAACATATTGTGTGAAATGATTTGTGGAAACAATGGTTTTGAGAAAACCCTAAATTTTTAGGTGGGGGTTAAAACACAAAATCTGCTTAATATAAGTTGACATGTAAACATAAATAAAGGAAAAAATTAAATAAAAAGTCACTTAAACAAACAACTCAACAAATATCAAGATTTTATAGTTATAGTTGACGGATCAACAAAAGACTAAATAATCGAAATCTTAACACTAAAAGAGAGAATAAACAAAATTATACTCCATCTGTCTCAAATTATAAGATATTTTGGGCATTTTAAACGAATTAAAAAATTTAATTATTATTTTATGAGAAAGACAAACTATATATGACTTTACACTAATACTTAAGGGTATATTGGAGAAAATGACATTAATATTGCATTAGAAATATAAAATAATTTATAATTTGAGATAAACTATTTTAATACATAAATTTATAATTTAAGATTGAGAGAATAAAAAGTAAAATATCGCTCACTTTCCCGGAGTAATATATATTTATCCCTAATAATATCTAACAAGCAATATTTTAAAAATCGGACCGGAGATCGAACCAGTGAAATTTACGGTTTAAAGTTCAATTGGTTAAACTAATTTAACCTACGGTCGAACCATTTATTAAATAAAATAATAATATAAAACTCATTTCATATATATGTCACACATTATTATATGTTCTTAAATTAATAAAATAAATATTTTAAAAATCCATTACAAACTTAATACAACAATATCAATAATACATAAAATAACATAATTTTACACTTCATTTCAACCATCATTTAAGAATATTTTGACCAAACTAAAAAATTACAATAAAATAAATTAAACTAATTCAAACTAAAATTAAAATAATAGAACATAATAACTAAAATAAATTTCAAATAATTAAGAATACTTAAATTAAATATGATGGAGTATCAAAATATAAATAATACAATATACTTCATTAAACAACAAAAAAATCGAATTTGAGTTGAACTACGACAAACAAGTCTTAATTGACAACAAAAATAATATAGACTTGAATGACAATCAATAAAGTTGAACATCATGACTATGTTTGAAAAAGACAGCATGATGATGATAAAGTGTGGTTGAAAGAAAAATTATAATAAAGTGACAAAACATAGAAGTTTGTATGATTGTAAAAAACACACCGAATTCTTTTTTGTGAATGAGAAATGTATGTTAAGTTTTGATATTCATATATTAAAAAAAAATTTAAAATTTAAAAAATGACTAATTTGATGAATTTTTTTGAACCGGACGGCTTTACAAAACTGGTTCCGGTTCTTTAGTTCGAATGATTTTAGACGGTTTAATCCAGTTTTTTCAATTTAATTCCGATTTTGACCTACTAGTAGTTTTGAAAAACTGACTCGACCGAATTCATCTTCAATTTTCAATCTAATTAGTTGAACCGGCCAGCTCGATATGATTTTTAAAACAAGTGAAAATATATCAAAATTATATGCAGAATAATAATACAATTGGGACAACAAAAATGAATTCTCCATTATCCATGTGGGAGTTGTCCCGCAGCTTTTGGGGAAAATAGAAAGTACGGCCACACTTGGATATGCTGTCCAAACTCCCATACTCCTTAACTCATATTCCTAACTCCTATTTCTAAATTTCACTGTATAATTTCCTTCACAATGACGGCATCACCGATTTCGCTATCTTCCTCTGCCACCTCCTACACCGCCGCCATTTCGGGACCGCGCCACTGTTCCCTCTTTCACACCAGCATTTCAACTGCCACGTCTTTCAATCTCCGATTCTGTGGTCTGAGGCGCGAAGCCTTCACTTTCACTTCCCTCCGCCATCGCTCAAACCATAATCATCCCATACGCCGGACACACTTCAATGCAATATCCGCCGCTCTTTCTGACAACGACACCTCTCCCAAATCATTCGATTACGATCTGCTTATTATCGGAGCTGGCGTCGGTGGTCACGGTTCTGCTCTTCACGCTGTTGAAAAGGTACACTAATTGATGTTGCTGAGTTGAAATTTAGCTGAGTTTGTGTAATCTGGTTTAGATAACCACAAAAACTGATATAGGCATGTTTGGATAAACAAATTAATTAAGAGCTTCTGACATAACCATTTATGGTAAGTTATTTCTATGGGTAATGTTAACTTGTGCCCTTGGGGCACATGTTAAGAACTAAATTAAGAAATATTATGTTGGAAATTGTGTACAAACTTAAATTAAAGTATAAAATTAATTTTTAAATTGTGTTTTTCAATACAAATTTACTAAAAGTGGTTTCCTTAACATGTGCCCCAAGGGCACAAGTTAACATTACCCTATTTCTATTAATAAAAATCTGTTTTAATAAGCGGCTTATGCTCCATAAGCTCAAATAAACCGATTCAAAGTCCAACAGAGGTTACTTGATAGTATATAAATATTGAATTGCTGAAGTTTTATGTTTGAAATGAGTGAGTGGCTTACAGGGTTTGAAAACAGCAATTGTTGAGGGAGATGTGGTGGGAGGGACATGCGTGAACAGAGGTTGTGTTCCTTCTAAAGCTCTTTTGGCTGTAAGTGGTCGTATGCGAGAGCTGAGGAATGATCATCACTTGAAATCGCTTGGCTTACAGGTAATAAAGATCTAGTAGATCAGACTTGATTCATAGGGAATAAATAATGTGTATGACGAAATGTGTTTAGAACTTGCAAATTTGTTGTGTTTTTTTATGTTAGGTTTCTAATGCTGGGTATGATAGACAAGCAGTTGCTGACCATGCTAATAATCTTGCATCGAAAATTCGCGGTAACTTGACCAGCTCAATGAAAGCACTTGGAGTGGATATACTTTCTGGTTTTGGAACTATTTTGGTTAGTGGCTTATTATGTTCTGTAGCGTCACTTATCAGAGATGCATGATTATGCTGTTGTGACTGTCTTTAGAAACTGAATTATCTGTTTGTCAGCCAAGGCTTGAACAATGTTGTAAAATATTGTCTATAGCACAGCTCAATAGCGTAGCAGATTTTGAACAAATCACTATTGATTTAATACAAAGTTTTGTTTTGTCTAATTGTGGTTATAGCAGCACTGTAACATAGCGGAATTTGAAAAAAACCCACTATTTTCCACGATCCGCAATTGACAATATTGAGCTTGAATTTAAATTGCCACTGGGCAAATGCTAATTTTATTATTTCTTTACTGCATTCCTTATTTGTAAATCTTTGTAGGGTCCTCAAAAGGTGAAAGTTGGCTCTTCTAACAATGTAGTAACTGCCAAAGACATCATCATTGCCACTGGTTCCGTTCCTTTTGTTCCTAAGGGAATTGAAGTCGATGGTACACCATACACTATGTATTTCTTTTTCTCTCTCTCTCAATGACATTATTTTTATTTCTTTTATTATTTTTGTTTCTGCCTCTAGTTTTTAGTCAATGAAAATGACCGAGTTATAGGCATATATCCTCTCTACATGTACTGTAAAGCATCAAGTGGCTTAGGATAGAATGCTGTCAGTATCAATTATAAAAGCAGTCAGAAATGAAAAAAAATAAGGGATCAATTCAGTATTGGTGATATTTTCTGATTGATAGTATGTTTGTATTTAGAATACGATACTCCAGTGAGATGTTTGTTCAATAGTCTATTGACACTGCTCCTCTTGTTTTCTGCTTTCCTATTTCTTATTGCAAGATTGATTTTGTATATCTTTACTGTAATTAAAATTCGCCAACCAATAACCTTCAGGGAAGACTGTGATCACTAGTGACCATGCACTCAAATTGGAGACAGTGCCTGATTGGATAGCAATTGTTGGAAGTGGTTATATTGGCCTTGAATTCAGTGATGTATATACGGCACTTGGAAGTGAGGTAGCGCTTTTCGGATATAACGTCTTTCCCCCATCATCTATTATATTTTGTTCATGAGAAGGACTCCAGTAGTTTACAACTCCTATGATGCCCAAAGTCTGTTCTCATACAATTCCTTTTATACTTCAGATTTCTTTTTATTGACACAAGAAATAAAATAAAAAAACTTGATATTATGTCGTAAAATTTATAAGCCCTATGTGCAGAAAGGATATAGTGGGTAATAAAGGTATTTTGTAGGTTACCTTTGTCGAAGCTTTAGATCGGCTTATGCCTGGATTTGATCCTGAAATTAGCAAGTTGGCTCAGAGGGTTCTCATAAATCCCAGGAATATTGACTATCATACAGGCGTTTTTGCATCCAAAGTAACTACATCGGGTAACTTCTCCACTAAATTTGTTAGTTTGATATTTTGAATTGTTGCATCACATGCTTTATGTATAGATCACTCCTGCAAGAGATGGAAAACCTGTAATGATTGAGCTCATTGATGCAAAGACCAAGGAACAAAAGGACACTTTAGAGGTACCTTAATTTTCACTTGAAATCCGTGTAGGTTTTTTTTATAGGTTGAAATCTTTATAGTTAATCACTTTGTTTTTAACTGTAAATTTCTCCTAAAGAAACTAATTGGGAAAGATTGATTGGAGAACATGTGAGCAGGAAACAACTAATACATAATATATTTTTACTAGTAATTACCTATGATCATATGCTTTCTAGGACACCCTTAATACAGCTTCCTTTATGGGATGAGACCTTGTAATGAACACATCATGTTTCAAGATCCGGAGATGGTTAATTTGCTTACTGTTTATTTACATAGGGAGAGAAAAAGAATACAAATTTGTGGATTTATAATACCCTTCTCTTCCATCCTTTTATTAATTTATAAATTGGTGTAGCTTTATATGTTAGTGGCTTCGGTATGACTGAAATTCTTGAAAACTTTTAATGTCAATAATAGGGCTTTAAGCGTAGACCCGTTGCAACTATCTGAAAATATTAATTATAGATGATTTATATATTGTTCTTGCATATTTAATAACTAACTTTATAATCTGTTACTTCTATTCTATTCTGCAGGTGGATGCTGCATTAATAGCAACCGGAAGGGCTCCATTCACACAAGGTCTTGGATTGGAGAATGTATGCCTTTAGAACAGAAATGTCTTTAGTACAAAAAGCTTTCCCTGAAGGAAGTGATTGGATATTATTGTTACATGTTCCTGCAGATTGATGTTGCAACACAGCGTGGTTTTGTTCCCGTGGATGAGCGCATGAGAGTAATTGATGCAAATGGAAACCTGGTTTGTTTCAAAATTCTCACACGCATTATCTTTTCCCTGCTGGCCCATTATTGTTACTGATTTAGGATGTGGAATGATAGGTCCCTCATTTATACTGTATTGGCGATGCAAATGGCAAGATGATGCTTGCTCATGCTGCCAGTGCACAAGGAATTTCAGGTAAAAGGAAACTATGTAATTTGCTACAAATTCTCACGTGATGTTTCCAGTTCACTGATTGAAAAGATTATTTGATAGTGGTTGAACAGGTCACTGGAAGAGATCATGTGCTCAATCATTTAAGCATACCAGCTGCTTGTTTCACTCATCCTGAAATCAGCATGGTTGGATTGACAGAGGTATGATATAATGATATACTACTTTTTATTTTGATTGATGTTTCATCATCCACATGCTACTTTCTCCACTCTTTCTTACTTGGTGGTTAACTCTCTCTGCCTCTACTTGTTTGTTCTGCCCCCTTGTATCGTCCTATATTATTTAAACAAAATAAATCACTGCTAGTTGACCATGTTTGCAGCCTCAAGCAAGGGAGAAGGGCGAAAAGGAAGGATTTGATATAAGTGTGGCCAAAACAAGTTTTAAAGCTAACACAAAAGCCTTAGCAGAAAACGAAGGAGAGGGTCTTGCCAAGGTGATTTTTCTGTGTCTCTCTTAATAAGTGATCGATTGTGCTAGACTGTAAAAAATGACATAAAAAAATTTGCTTTTTAGATGTTGGGTGTTGTAAAGTAGACTTATTTTAAGTTTAAACATAAAGATACTTTAGGAAATTTACCAGGTCAGTCTTGTTAACATCGATTGTAAAAAAAAGTTGGTGGTGTTATCAAAAAAGGTAAAAGTTAGTGGAGAAGCAAGAACATCATTCTTCTATTTTAATCATTTCTACTCTTGAGCCTTAGAAATTGTGTGAGTTGATTTTGTAAAACCATCCAAACATGTACTACCTTTAAATGGCCAAGCATTAATATAGACTCTTCTGATTTACTTTGGTGAAAACAAATGTATTTGATTGAGAGCAGGGTGAATGGGATTTTACTATCTTCTTACCAGTTTCATCGTTGTCTAACTGTCATCATGATATTTTCATGCAGTTAATATACAGACCTGACAACGGAGAGATACTAGGAGTTCATATTTTTGGGTTGCATGCTGCAGATCTCATCCACGAGGCTTCCAATGCAATAGCATTAGGGACACGTATTCAGGTAAATTTTCTTTCCAATAGTCATTTTTGTGAGCCTGGCTTTTAATTGTTGGTGGCTGCATGTGCTACATTGTTATACAATCTAGAATAAGGCACTCTGTTCATCTCTGTTGATAAATATACCTGTAATAATCTTTCATTTCCTGTTTGTTTGGTAACTTCGGCCATATTTTGTTACAAACGCAGGATATTAAATTTGCAGTTCATGCTCATCCAACTTTATCAGAGGTGCTTGATGAGTTATTTAAATCAGCAAAGGTGAACTATCTATAATGTACCTACACTAATATCAGTACACAAATAATTTGTTGTGCTTGGCGCATTAATTTTTGTGCTCCCTTTTTCAACCACCAAAACAGGTTACAGCATAAGCTTCTGACCCAGTGAAGGAGCCAGTTGCAACCTAATCTGTTGCATGCATGCCATTTGCTTGTTAAAGTAACTTTCAAGCTATTGATCATCTTCAGGTGCAATACATCAGCACATTCAGAATCGTCTTAAACAAGGGAATTTGTTAGGACTTTGAAGGATCCTTTTCAATGGTTTGATTAATGGATTGGCATCGAATCATTATTTTTGCAGCATATTGTTAGTGTCTGTCAAAGACACTCATATTCCTAACCACTGGCCTGCAGAAACTCGTGCGTGAGTGTGAATCCCAAACATTGACTATAAATAGTTGTGTTACAAGGTTTTCTTGAGTAAACCTAGGTGACACATCCACCAGGAGTTTCAAATTGCTTCTTGATGATATATTTCTTCTGCCTCCAAGATGATGTTATCGCCTTGTGGGCAGTCTAACTAAAAGAATGTCTTTCTCAATGAACTAAAAATAGTACTCCCTCCAATCGTTTTTTGAATAATTTTTTGTTTCTTTTTAATTGTAACTTGCAAAGTTCAAGGTAGTATTAAATGCATTTTTGTTAAAATCATTTCTAAATAATTATTACAGAATTCTCTCATTTTTTTTAAGTGTCACTTTTTGATTTTTTATATATATCAAAAAAGCTAATTAATATTATTATTTTTCATACAATAATTTTTCTTTTACCTATAATATCTCTAATTATTTATTACATTCATTTTAACTTTCTTAATATATGTAAAAAATTAAAAAGGAACCGAAGGAGTAACAATTTACAAAAAAAAACCTCACCCCTTTGAAAAATGTCTAAATGTATTTAAGTTTTACACTCTCTTTAATTTTTATTCCTATTTTTTGTCTTGAAAATCGTTAAAAATATAGAAATGTGAAGAAAAAAATAGAGGTATATTAAAAATAATGACATTAAATGTAATAATTATTAATGATATTTGTTTATATTTAAGATTATTGAATTTTTTTTTATTGTCTATATTTGAGACCGAAGGGAGGTATGTGGCTAAGCATGTGATTAATGAGTTACAATCTTTTTTTTTGACAGAAAATAATTTGTTTTTCATATTTTACTAAAAGTTATATCATGGTTAGTTTAGATGACCAATTGTGGTTCACCGTCCTAAAGCTTTTGTTTGAGAGTTTAGATGGAAGGGGAGAAAAAAAAAATGATAGAGTGAAAAAAAAATGGTTGAGAGAATTTTGAAGAATTTATTTTTATTTATAATAGAAAATCTTTTTAATTTAGAGGAATTATGTTCTGGACTGGGTCGGGACTTCTCCATCAGTCGGACAGGCTCAACCCAACACTACGTTAGGGAGGTCCAATCCTCCCATGTCGGGAACAAGCCACCTACGTTGGGCAGATGAATCCCTTCACGGGCAGACTCACACGTTTCCCCTACGCTCTCCACGTGCTCCCCCACGCAGGGACACGTCATCAGGCAACTACCCACTTTCGAAATAGTTGGTCAGCCCACCTTCCGAAGATTACGGAGCAGTTAATATAGGGCGAAGACCACGTGCTGGTCTTCACTACGCCACGTAAGCCCTGACAGTTACTTGGGTCGGGCCTGGCAGTCTGGCCCAATGCAATGTAACCGTTGGCCCTGCGCTAAGGTCTCTCTATAAATGTCCTCTCTCACTAGAGGGTCAGGTATTCTATTCTCTACACCTACTTCTATGTATTTGCTCTCCCACTCTGATCTTTTACTCACTTAAGCATCAGAGTGTCTTGCAGATACACCCCCCCTTCTTCCTACCTCTGATGAAAACTACTATTCAACGACGCGTGGTAGGCCATTGATCCTTTTTTATTAGGTGAGATCAGTGGCACCGTCTGTGGGAACCTCAGCTTCCCCGTTCTTTCTCCTATCCGAGCACAGAAGCTCAAGAACCAAAGCGAAATCAACCTTCAACTTCCATTCCAATTATGGCCAACCCACGCAATAAAAATGCCTCAGGAACTGTCGTTACCCCCTTGTCCAACAGGGACGGCCACGACCCTAACACGACCGTCCACAACAGGAAGGTGACCACAGGGACGGATGCACTGCCTCCCCTTTCTCAGAAGATGCGGCCTTCAAGGTCGTCCAACGCTTAGACACCCTGGCTGTCTACCGGCCCATTCTGGCTCCGACGGGCACCGACCCCACCGTCAAGGCCCTGTTCGCGGCGATCAATCAAACCAACCTGATGATTTTCGAGACAAAACGAACGGATAAGGATGCTCGAAAGAGAACAACCGTCACGCTCTCCCCCACGGAGACACCTTCGCTCGGTTTCTCCCAGCCCATCTCCTCCCCACGGAGACACGGTCGACGACACTCTGTCAACCTCTCTCCCCCTAGGAGACACTGTCGATAATGTTCTGTTAGCCTCTCTCTCCCGCGGAGACACCTTCACCAGGCTTCCCTCAGTCCCTCGCCTCCTCTACGACAGACACAGTATGTGGGGGACTCTAGGAGCCCATTGCCCGATCGGCAAGGCGTCGTCCCCGTCTCGAGCGACCCCAGCCAACGGTTTTTCACAAGAGGAACAGGTCCCCTCCTCGAGAAGAGCAACGTTCGCCGGCTCCGAAGAAGAATAAAGCAGTTGCAACCTCTTCCAGACCAAGTACTCAGCAGAAGAGCCCACGTCGGCGACGAAATTGCCTGGATTCAGCCTCTCCCTCGTCGTCGCCCGTCCGGAGCAACAAAGACACCCGATGCCCTCCACTATGCAGAGCCATCAGGGAAGCGTCGTTGCCCGTCGGGATGGAGAAGCCCTCAATCTTGGCCACCTACGATGGGTCGACCGACCCGGACGACCACATCGAGAGCATAGACACGATGCTGGACTAAAGAAACGTCTGGGGAGCTATCAAGTGCAGACTGTTCCCCACCACCTTGAGGAAAGGGGCCATGGCGTGGTACAAACGCCTTGCGCCCGACTCCATCTTCTCATGGGGAAAACTGAAGCGCCGGTTCTCTAGGCACTCCATAGTGTTCTGACGCCATCCAAAGACAGTGGCGGTCCTGGAAGCCATTTTTCAAGGGAAGAACGAACCTCTCAGAGACTACATTGAGAGGTTCAATAGCGATACCTTCCAAGTGTCCACGACGAACGACATGAAGAAGTTCCTGATCCATAGGGGTATCAAGCCACACTCCAACTTCGCGAAAGTCGTTGGCCTCGCACGCCCCCTTACTCTGAACGCCCTCCTACACATGGCTCAGTCACACATCGAGTATGAGGAGATAGAGGTCGCGAACATCGCCCGGGAAGGGCGCAATCACGAGGCCCCCAAAAGCGCGAGGCGCGAGGATACCCTGCCTGCTCCTTCTCGACGAAACAAACCAAAAAGGCGCGAAGACCGCCCCCAGGAGCAAAGAGGCCCAGCAAGCCGGTTTACTGAGTACACGCTACTCACAGATCCCCGCGAACGTATCCTGGCCGAGTGTATCAATTCAGAGTTTCAACGGGAGGTGTCCGGTTTCCAAAACCAACGGCCCCTAAGCCCGACACGGACAAGTCCAAGTACTGCCGGTTCCACCGGAGCCACAGACACGTGACAGAAGATTTCATTCACCTCAAGGATGTAATCAAAATCTTAATAAAAGAGGGCATCTGAAACAATACACCTGGAGAGGAGAAGCCCCCCCGCCTGAGACCCGCGAGGCGAAGAAAGTCGAAGAGGCATCAATCTCATCCGACGAAGTAGGACTGCAAGTGGCCATATGCGTCTTTCGACCAAAGGACTTCTCTTTCAGCGAGCCCGCCAGACCACTGACCGCCCTTATCCCGTGGGAGGACTTCCCGACCACAATGGTGATATCGGGTGGGGGACCCAGTCAACTGTCGGTCGGGTCCGTCAAGAGAAAATTCGAGGAACTCATTGACAAGAGCTCAAAGATGAACGCTACCCTCGACAAATTCAAAGGGCAGTCGAAACCCATCACCTTTTATCTCTAGGAGCTCCCCGGAGGGGCACCCAACGCCATCATTCCCCTTCTGATCAGAGCATGGATGGCAAATTTCGACGTCCGCCGAATCCTGGTCGACCAAAGAAGTTCGGTGGATATCATGTACCCCTACCTATTCACCACCCTACAGCTGGACGAAAGCCACCTGACCCCGTACGTAGGCTCTGACCTCTAGAGCTTCAACGACACGACCACCAAGCCTTAGGGATATGTGGAGCTGCTCGTCACCTTCAGGGCGGAGGAAACGGCCAGACTGGTGAAAGTCCGCTTTTTGGTGGTTGTGTGTTCTTCGTTGTATCAGTGCATCCTGGGACGCCCAACTTTAGCCGAGCTGACCGTAGTACCATCGACAGTACGCCTAAAGATGAAGTACTACACCACCAGAGAACGGGTCGTCACCCTCCACGGAGACATTGAAGCAACCAGAAGATGCTTCGAGGCGGCACTCAAATGGCTCATCTCCATCAACGTCGCCCCCAAACCGGCCAACCGTCCAGCTCAAACTAAGGAACAAAATCCCCTTCCGCACGTCAACTCTGTCGACCTCGACAGTCGTTTCTCTAAAAAACAGGGACAAGGAAGAGATCCCGAAGACACACCTTCGGAAGACAACGAACAGCTCCCCCATCCAAGATGCCCCATCCCAAACGGAGACTTTGAGCTCATCATGCTAGGAGACAACCCCGAAAGAGGCATGAAGATCGGCAAGGATTTACCCGACCTAGCAAGGAAACAACTCAAAGCCTGCCTTTGGGAGAACGCGGACCTCTTTTCATGGAGCGCTGCCGAGATGCATGGGCTCCAACCCGACGTAGCATGCCACCACCTCTCCATAGATCCAGCTGCTAGGGCCATAGTTCAACATAGGCGTAGGCAGTCTCCCGAGAAAGCGGAGGCTGCCGAGAAAGCTGTAAAAGACCTCTTAGAGGCAAATTTTATTTCGGAAGCCCGGTACACAATCTGGTTGTCCAACGTTGTACTTGTTAAAAACTCTAATGGAAAATGGAGAATGTGTGTTGATTACAGTGAT